AGCGCAGCTTGTCTGTGTGGTTTCATTCTCGCGTACCCCTGATGGGCTTTGCAGCCTCTGTCTGTCCCCTGTCCCCTGGAGGGGTGCAGATACACCCTTGGTGGCAGGTAGACCCATGGGAACAAGGAGCCAAGGAGGAACGTTTGGGAAAAACATCTCCCTCAGGGTGATGTTTTAGTTAGATAGAGGAGAGACTTTTTCATCACAGGGAAGCACCACCTTCTTCTCCAATGCTGGAGCCAGCATGGGGATGCATGAAGAGGGGGCACTGGAGACCCCCAGCGTTGGGTCGGGCTGTCGCAGCTGAGGAAGCACCCTCCTCCACCTCCCCACTTTGAGAGGGGTCCGAGAGGAAAGGTGCTCCTTTTGGCGACTGGCCTTTCCCATCAGATCCCTGCCAGGCTGGCTCAGATGCAGTTTCCCCGCCACGAGTGCTTTGCAGGGCCAGGATGATGAGACAGACCTGCCCACCACGAGCGCCTGAGCCTTCAGCATTCAGGGAGAGTACGTGCACCCAGCCAGAGGCTTTGTGGACACTGATGCTGAGGGCAAGTCAAGGAGAGCAGTCACTTCATCTATCATAATTGCACAGAAAGAAACAGAGAATGTCTGCCCCAGACTGCGTTCTTCCCTCAGAGATAAACAAGAGAAATCCCCCGTTTTACCTCATACACCCTTGGCAAGCAGGTCTCCTGGGTCCAGGTGCCACCGGGGCACTGGTGGGACCGGAGGCACTGCTGGTCGCACCAGCCACACTGCATGAAGGATGGGGCCAGCAGGCACTGGCTGCAGGTCCTGAAGTGATGGCAGCCCGGCCCCGTCAGCGGGATCTTCGTTATCTGTGGATGGAAAGACACGATGCACAGCTCCTTTTAACACCGGCACTGAGTGGCAAGGAGAGTCCCTATTTATGCAGTGCGCTGCGGTGCTGCTCGGATTTCAGATGTGCAAGCTACGGTTTGACTTCTCTTAAGCTCAGTAATTATAGGATCTTATAAGTAATTTAACTGACATGATTTTAAATTCACTTGGGAGAAACCCTAAAGGCATCTTAATGTTACATAGTTACTACCAGCATCTGGTGTTTATAGCAAGATAGCATTTTTTGCTGATGGAAAAAGAAAACATCAGCGTGCTCCTCCCAGTTCTGCACTCCTTCTTGGAAAAAAGAGTATCTCAGTATGTCTTAGTTCATATATTTGTAAAAACAGGCATGATGGATATTTCAACCTTGATGAGGCTGTATTAACATCTATGGCACACTTAAAGCATGTGATCGCCCAAGTATTTGTTTTTTAACACCTACCTTCAAAAGTCCTGTACTATACCTAAAATATGGATTAACATTTATATGATTTAAAATATCAGGATAGTGACTCTAAATACATAAGAATTATTTTTAGTCAGAATATCAAAATTAGAATATAATTACACTACTGTGTAAGTATATAATACTTCTTTACATTTCAGTACCTTCCTTAAACTTATTTTTAACATTTTCTTGAAGATTACTGTTATAAATATCTCATACATTTCTAGTAAATAATTAATAACCATCTTTACTGATGGCTGATGTATTTCTGTAAATTCTTATAGAACTCAAGGGGTCAAATTATTGCTTACGATTATGGTCTAGGATTATCTGTAATATTATCTGCTGATGTTTTAAACCCATTCTACAATGCATATCTGCTTGTGACAATAGCATATTTATGACAGCTCTTCATCTTTCATTAACCCTTTGTAAACTACACGCTAAAGTAATTTCCAGACCTTACTATGAACACCGACTCTCAGTTTTAAACACACCCACATAATTCTTGAAAAAAACACCCTTAAAAAGTTATGATGTTATGATACAAACGAACAAAAGCCAGGAAACTCTCAGCACCATTCTTCTCTTAAGCCATTGTGTGTTTTTTCTCTGCAAGCACTTGAATTACAGACAGGGTTTCAGCCTTAAAATTTGCATTTCCTGGCTTTTGTCGGTTTATATCACAGCTCTTATATTATTTAAACATTTCTCAATATTAGGCTGTTGGTTTATTTAGTAGGGGAAAAAAAAATTCTTGGAGGAAACTTGCCACTCCAATGTTCCCAAGGGAATGGGAAGGCTGGGAGGATGCAGAACATAAAGCAGCAGCGTGAATAGCTGCTCTTACTGAAAGTTGCTGCTCTGAAAGCAGGTTTACCCAGTGGACAGAAGATTAGATTATGAACCACTCACCTTTTTCCCAGTCACTACCAGGGCGTAGCCATCACCTGCTAATGAATTCTCAACAACAACTTGGGGAGAGACCGGGTGGGAGTCTAGCTGAAAGCTGACATGTGGAGCTGTGGGTTCTGAACGAGAAAGCACTATCTAAGAAAGAAAGAAATGGGGAAAAATCAGCAGGCAGTGTGTGACACGAATGCATGCTGCTCAGCGGTCTCATGTTCCTACCACTTCTCTGCTTGCATTAATTACTTCGCATTACATTGCATAATATTTTGCATAATGTCCCATCATGATCTGATTAAAGCGCTATAAAATCTGCTTTATTTAACACAGCAAAATCATGGCTGTTGGAGGATCCTCAAAACACATCGTATTTATTAAAATATGAAGGAGTCGTTGCAATTTTCCTGTTCCTTCCTTTTCAGGTATTTATAAATCAACTGTAGAAAATAAAGATGGGTCATTTAGTCAGCCCTGTGCATTTAAGAAAGCAGAATTTTATCTACACCATCTATTTAAAAAAACCTTAAAGCTCCAGGCTGTGAAAAGTCAAAGATACTTCCATTTATTTTCACTTTGCTTCTTCAGTTCGAAAAGCAAACTTTACCCTGTGTCAACAGGATCTGGTCTTGGCGCACGTGAGGCCATGAGAGGGCAAATCCGTGGTAGAGCAGGTCATAGAATCATAGAATCATAGAGTCATAGAATCATAGAATGGCATAGGCTGGAAGGGACCTTAGAGATCATCTAGTCCAACCTCAGTTGCGGCTGTGAGCAGCACAACAGAGCCACGACCACACAGAGCTCCGGTTCCCGGTGCCAGCGAGGTGGCTGTGGCTGCAGGTCAGCTCTTTGCAAGACGAAGCTGAGCACCCTGAGGTCTGGCTCTTGCCCATTTCTGCACGAGCTGGGCATCCAAGACCAAGTACCCGAAGTCCCTCTTAAACAACAGGGAGAGCTGGAGGTTTCCTTGGAAGATGCTCCAAAATGGGAGCCTAATTTTGTTGTCCTGAAGCTGCTTTGCAAGAGACCTCTCTCCCTCTCTCTCTCGATTTTAGGAGATCTTAGGGAGATTAGTCACACCAGTATGAAATTCCCCCACTAGTCATCTCTCTGCATCTTGAGTTACCTAAATTCTTCTGAGAATTTGGGCCCATTCCCGCAAACACACGCTTAACTTTACTACTGTAACTTTGTTGACTTTAATGGGATGAGTCATGGCTGTTAAGAAGGGGCATAAAGCATCTGCAGATTGGGGTGGATATTCGATAGCGAGATTTTATAGGCCTGGGCCTGCAATCCAGAAGGATGTGCGCCCAAATGTGATAGCATCAGGCAACAAAGGCAGAGGATTGTTTACACGAGGGGAGATCATGTTCATGTTTCAAAAGCTGCATCATGTGTAGTTTACTTAAGGAATTTAGATAATGAATATTTGCTGAGAAGTTGAGATTCAATGGGGTTCATTATTCAAAAAAAGATTGAAGCCATTCTAGAAATCACTTGTATGTCAAATATCTAATTTTTCACTATAATGAAGCTTTTTTTTTCTGACTCCGAAGGCAGCATCAGAACAGCTAAGACATTGACTTACACAATTTCACTGGCTTTTCGCACTGCCAAGGTCTTTCAACAAGATGGCTGACTCGAAAACTAGACTTGGAGATGCTGTAATTACAGCTGATGTTCTGTTGTAATTCAAGACTTAAATAAAATACACGAGCAGTTTATTCATGGTGATAAGTGCTTCACATCCCAGAGGTATTTACAGTTTGGAGTTATAAGAGGGTGGTTTTTTTGTCTTTAAACTGTAACTGGCTTTGTTAAAGACTTTGCTGTGGGTTTGTTTCAGAGCACAGAAAGTGCAGCTTTTAGAAATCAATAAAGTCTGATCATTTTTGGTGACACAGAAGTATGGTCTCTGACTCAGTGTATTAGGGCAGGAGCTCTGTTTTTATATTCAGGACAATGAAAAATAGAATGGACTGCAAAGCTGCATGAAAAAGCTTGATTAATGTTGGCATTATGAGGAGAGGTAGCACCACAGCTGCAAATACCTTTTTAGTTGATCATTAGCCGTGTCTCATCTCGAATACCCACTGCTATAAAATGCTAAGAATTCTTTTCTATCATTAATCCAGGCTTCCTCTTATTGCCAAGCATTCTTTCTGATTGAGCCACAGTGTTAACCCTTTAAACACATCTGTGTATCCCAGAGTGATACATGAAAATTTGGATTCCATTTCCATAATCTTGGAAAAGTTATTTGGTACTTTAAGCACTGGCCAACCTTTATTTTACTGAGGCCGATAGTCAAATCACCTGCTCAAAGTCCAAGTGAATTGACTTTGACCTCATGACCTCATGACACATAAGGAGCTCAAATTACACTTCCTAACTCATTTGGTACCATGGAATAAAAGTTTGGAGTTTGCTTAGAACTAATCTACCAGCCTACAGCGCTGCCGTAACAGACACTAGATGCAAAAGTGGGGTTTTTTTGGTCTCTATAACTGTGTGGTTTTTGCACGCATCAGCCCAGTCCTTGAAATTCTATCTTATCCTTATCCAACATAATCCTGAAGAAAAAGGCAATCTGAAGACAGCTTCTACAGCAGGAAGAAGAGGCTACTTTGGCCTCCAGTGTCGTTCTCAGAAACCTCTGATTTTTATTGCTTGGAATTGGGCTGGTATGTGCACAGTGTGGCTTTAATCTGCCATGGACACACCACCACACAGGGGCTATTTCTACCATGGAAATGGTTCAGTACAACAGAAGGACTTCTCTTTAAAAGATTTTAAAGTGCTGGCTTGTTTTTTTAGGTTTGTCTTTTTTTGGGAGTGGTGTTGTTTGGTTGGGGTTTTTTTTTTACATTTTAATAACCAAGCATTTATTCAGAGCATAAGAGAAATGTAAGTATATATACGTTCCTGCACTCAAACAGATACGAGAGAGGGAATGTCTTGCACAGATAAATAATTGACTAAAGGAGAACAAACAGATGTTAGCAGCAAACAGTCAGTCCTTGCAATAGTAAGAAGTCACCAGAGGTGTCCTGCAACGTGTGTATGCTGCAATCCATACTGTTCAACATATCCATCAATGAGTTGGTAAAGTGGTTGAGAAGTCCAGTAACGAGTATCACTTCAAGGTGATAAGGATAAGGACATACTATGAAGGATGGCAGAAGGACTTAACAAGACAGTGTGTCAAGGGAATAAAATGGTAGGTGAAACACAACGAACAAGACGAATTTAAAGCAGTATATGATAGATAGTTCCATGAAAACACCATCTTACTACTCAGCAGCAGCCAGAAAACAAATGAAAACTTAGGGATTATTAGAAAAGGATTAGAGGACAAATCAGAAAGTATCCTGAAGTCATACAAATTTATGGCTTGCCTCAACCTTGAATTCTCTGTGCAGTTCTAGTTGCCTCATGACAAAAATGTTAAAATGTGAAAGGTTCAGACAAGGGTAGCAAAGATGATCAAAAGGCTGTAATGGACAATGACTGAGTAGAGGAGGTGTGGAAATGCTACGAAAACAGCATACAGAATGATGAGTGGGTAGAGACTGATGGTTTACTCTCATCTAACAGAAGTACTAAACACCATCAAAAGACGAACATGAGAGTCAGGCTCAAAGCAAGCAAAAGAGGAAGACTTCCCAGCAAATGTGATGACTATGGGACTCCTTGCTGAAGGATATGAAGGCAAGAAGAACACAATTTCAAAGGGAAACTCCACATGTGCAGCGAAAGAGACAAACAAACACAACCCAATAGCTCAGGAAATCCCTAGAATGGAAAACAGTTGGAGGGCTGAAGCAGAAGGTTATCGCGTGTGTTGCCTGGGTCCTTAGGCATACACTTGTCACCACTGCTCGAGACAGAGCACTGTACTAGATGGACCCTTTGTTTAGACCCATGAGGCTTTTTTGATGTTCTTACAAATAACCCTTCTGAGAACTACGTTCATTATCAGTAACTACAACCCCAGACAACCTCCTCAAAGCAAACACAACATTTATGCTCCTCTGTTTAAAAGAAAACCAAATAAGTATGTGGTCTCTCAGCATAGTTTGAAGTAATTCCAGAAAGAGAAGAGCCAACAGCTAATTAAATAATGAATATATTAATTAATATATCCTTCATAGTGGAAGTCAGTGATCACTCAGGTCCACGAGCACTAAAATAATTCATTTAAATATTCTTTCATTGCCATCAGCTAGCATTAATGTTAAGTAAGAAGAATTGACTCTAGGTTCCTTTGTGCATATTATGGCAAATTAAGACAGTAATAACGTGAGTTGAAAACCAGCATGTAACAGCTTCTTTTAAAAATCATTCTGATGCTCAGTTACGCTAGTCAGCAGGATTGAATTACAAATGTTACTGTCTACATGTTGAAATATCTTCTGCAAAAATGAGAGGCCTTCTAAAAGCAATCTCATCTAAGTATCATATTGTTATTTTTTCCCTAGATGTCTGGCAGGTGTAGGCCATTATCCAGCAGAGATAGGCTCAGGGCTAACTTTATTGCGTAACGCCTCAAATGCCCTGGGATATGCACCGTAGCCTTGCAAAGGGCACATATGTAGCTCTCTAAACGCTGTATATCATTCTAATCCATGGAGAGTATAACGGATCTCCTCTGAAGACTGTAAGCTTTTCTACTCAAACTGAATAGTAAAACACGTGTTCTCTCAAAACAGTTATTTGGCACCAGGTGTTAATTTTTACTATATGGATTTTGCATTATGCAATATTTGATATTGTTTCTGGGAGCATCAAGATACATTCCTTACCCCAGAAAGAACTGCTATTATAAAACTGTTGAGCTATAGATATGAAAATGTTACTTATCAAGAGTCTGTAACAGTTTTCTGTTGACTTAAAAATTATAAAGTGAGAAGAATTACAACTATTCACATTCCTACAAATGCACATGCATATAGTTTGCATTTATCCTTACGTGGGACAGGCTGTCCTTATTTAAAAGCTGAGCGAATTGCTGGACCACAGAGACAGGACAGCAGTGGGCACTGAGGACAACCTTTGCAACAACTCCATGGGCATCTCATCACTCTTTCTTACTGTGGCTCTATAAGCTCTAAGGTCTGTGCTCATGTACTTCTTGA